TATTGACAGATGCAAATTATTTAAAGGAGAGCTTTCAATTCTAGAATGTCATTTTTCTTTCCTTCTAGATCGAACGAGAGATAATGGACATGCAAAGGTTGGAAAAGATGTATAATATTAATCACTTGTTATTCGTGTTTTGGATTCCGTGTATCATCATCGTCTTCAGCTATTTGACAGTGTTATTTATATTACAAACACATTTGAAAGAAGGTGAGTTATAGGCGACTTTTGCTAAACTTTTTATGCATTCCGTTATTCCCTGGGTAAAATACTGCTTTCCAATGAAAATATTCATGTAGGGCCTTTTCTAGCCAATTATTCTTTAATAAGTTTAAGAAGAAGATAAAATTGATGAGATTTACCACTTTTTCTGACATCTCCTCATAACCTATTTCCGAATTCTCATACTCATTACAGAGATCCCTCTTTTAACCAACCTTTAATTTTACTTCCCAAAAAACTGTAGATGATAGAGCTTATTGCTTGGTACATGCTTACTCAACCTTTTAACCTCTAACAAAAACTGCTCAAACGATGACTAATTGCTCTTAAACGAAAATCTCCTTCTTAGTTCTTTTCGAGTATCTTCAACAATTTTTTATCCGTCACTCTTCAACGGGGGGATTCGCCTTGATAGCGCTGTAATTGTGGCAATTATGCGTGAATTAAGCTCTAACACGACGTAGCCATTGCTAAAAAAGCTAAGGCTTATCCTGTGGGCGAGGGTATGACGTAGGGAAAGGATGAGCATGTGAAAAATAATCATTTCATGTTTTGTCCGAATTTGACGTAAGACAATTTTCTAAAATAACTTATGGAAAAGTTCTTATAAGAACATTCCTGCTCATTTCTGCTGAGAGAGTTTTAAAAAGACATTGAAATTGAAGGCAAACATGTAAAGCCGACATTTTCTTAAAAAGTATGCCTACTGCCAACCTTATAAGGTAAAAGAACTCGCTTTTAAACCTTAAACGATTCGCCAGAAATTCAATCATTCATCTTGTGATGAAAATAAGTTGCTTTGCCACTGGGCTAATAAATTTTAACATCGAAACAATATAGCAAAGCTTAATCTTCAGAATACCACGGCTTGCCTAAAGCATCCGCTATAAGCCAACTTGACGATGACTCGTCAAAATCCAGCGCAAAGGGGTGAGTGTCACTTTTATAAAATAAGATATATCCATCTTAACTCAATAATTTTCAATGGACATAGCTGCTGGAGTATTCACTCCTATTTTTGGAGTTATATTATTAATATTATGTTTTTTTTAAACATGTACAACTTCCAACTATATTCAGAATTTCTATGTTTAGGAAACGTCCTCTTAATCTTGATGCTGGACCACAAAAAACATCACCTATGCTGCGAGCTGCTAGCCCTGGTGTAATGGCCGTTTCTACTATCCACAAAGCAAAGCAGGTATGATTTACTCATTCATTTTAATGAAAAAAAAATTCTTTTTGAATTTTTTGTATTGTTTATATACACATCGTAATAA